AAACTAAAACGCATACCGTTTAGCGCTTCTTATTAGTTGCTCAAAAGTAATTTGACCGTATGAAATGCATAATATAAACCTAGAAACATATACGTGAGCAGTACTTAAGCACTGTAGTACCGGTGTTAAGACATACCTCTCAAATACTGTAAATCAAGTTAAAAATATCTCGTCTGGTCGTAATGAAACCATGTGCTGTGTTTTACAGCATGTTAAACATTAAACTGATTAAAAAGTAGGTATATTTTATAAAAGTAAGATTGCTCAGTTGGACAAAAGTACACAATATTATTCCACTTTCTTCATAAATATATTATGTATCAAAGTCTTTAACTTGGCAACTTACAGTGGGTTATGGTTTTAATGTGCTTGTTCTAACATTATAAACTTTATGTGCTGAAAACCCGAAACAAAGGGTCTTTGGCATCTTCAAACACCCTAGCTAACCTTCACTGACTACCCAAAACCATACAAGACAAACGGCACTCACCCATACTAAACTAGTGTGACATAAAAAAATCAACTACATGTGTGGAATGTACCCAACAACCTAAACTAACCCAAAAGTTAACACACAAAACACTAACACTAACACAAAAGGGTACAACAGAACACAGAGGTTGATACGACTGGGCAAGGTAATGGCTAAACAAGGATAAACACAAACAAAAGTACGAGGAGACAAACAAAAAACAACAAAACAACAAAGCTGAAGCTATACGAAAACACACACATAGAAACAAAGCAAAGCAAAAAACAAAAGAAAAGTGAAACTGAACCAATGGGGAGAACAATCAAGGTCAGGAAGTGTGGAACATAGTAACAAAACACACATGGACCACACACTGGGACATAACACAGCCATATACAGTTTGTGTAATATATTTACGTATATTCCTAAATTAATATAGTTTATGACGTTCAGAGATGTTATGCTCCTCCTATTTTTTTGCTCAGCTACCAAAAGTTGTAAAATTCCAGTTGTAAAATTCCATATTACTATTCCATATTAAGTAGATTTAAATATGCACAATAGAGAGATTAAATGAAACAATCATTTCGCTCACAACTAATGAACAACGAATACCACCTGTAGGCCATTTTTCCAGCCAATCACGTACTGCGGTAGGCTGTAGATCATTTCCCATGGTACAGGGTTTTACCACACATTTTGAATGGCTACATCTCTATATACATTTCGAATTGAAAGAAAGGTTTTTTCCAATACTCACATAAGTTGCATAACTGTAACCTATTTTGAGTTTGGGGAATTTTGCTATATATGGTTATATGTGGTTATTTCACTTCTATTGAACAGTACAAAACCAGCCATTCAGAATGCACGGAGAAAACAATGGCAAGCTACAAGGTGCTGACCATTGCATTGTTTTTAACAATCTGATGCAGGGCTGTGTTAAGCCAGCAGCCATGTCACCCTGCAACTTACAATTGGCAACCCACTGAAGCTAAGCAGGTGTGAGCCTGGTCAGTACCTGGATGGGAGACCTCCTTGGAAAAACTAAGGTTGCTGCTGGAAGAGGTGTTAGTGAGGCCAGCAGGGGATGCTCACCCTGTGGTCCATGTGGGTCCTAATGCCCCAGAGTAGTGATGGGGACGCTATACTGTAAAAACGAGTGCCGT